CTATTGGCCATTCAGCTTTTTATTAGACCAATCAGGTGCCTTAGGCAGGCCAGGTGAAACAGCAACACATCTTTAAACAATTAAACAGATGCAGCATAAACAAAAAGTAACACATCTTTGCCTGGTTAAAGTAGCAGTCCACAACAGCTGCTCTTGAAGAGGATTCGATTCCCAGCACCCACACGGTGGCCCACAGCTGTCTGTAACTTCAGTTCTAGGGGAGCTGATGGCCTCTTCTGGAATTCTTGGGAACCAAGGATACATGTGGTGCACATAAGTGAATGCAGGCAAACCACTCATACACATAAATAAGTCAATTTTTTTCTAAAGGAAGTCAGATAGAATGTGGGCCTTTGGGCTTGACTCTCTCTCTCTCTCTCTCTCTCTCTCTCTCTCTCTCTCTCTCTCTCTCTCTCTGTGTGTGTATGTGTGAATTGTGTATGTGTTGTTCATGGCTTTTGTTTTTTGGGGGGCCTGCCACCCAGCTACCAAATAAATCACACACAGAGGCTTATTCTTAATTATGAATGCCTGGCCTTAGCTTGGCTTAGTGTCTAGCCAGCTTTATTTAACTTAAATGATCCCGACAACCTTTTGCCTGTGGGCTTTTTCTTTTCTATTCCTGTGTACCTTTCTTTGTTTCTTACTCCGTGGCTGGCTGTGTAGCTGGGTGACTGGCCCCGGAGCCCCTCTCCTTCTCAGGCTCCTAGCTCTCCAATCCCTCTTCCCAGAGTTCTCCTTCTATTTATTCTCTCTGCCTGCCAGCCTTGCCTATCCTTTCTCCTGCCTTGCTATTGGCCAGTTCTTTATTAGACCATCAGGTGTTTTAGACAGGCACAGTAACACAGCTTCACAGAATTAAACAAATGCAATAACTGTGAACATTGTATAGACAAATGCACACTTACCATTCTGGCTAGACCATTGTCTACTTTAGCCCGTATCTCCTAAGGACAAGGATTTCTTCTTCTTTCTCTCTCTTTTTATTTTTTAGTTTTTTGAGACAGGGTTTCTCTGTGTAGCCTTGCCTGTCCTGGAACTCTCTCTGTAGACCAGGCTGGCCTTGAACTCAGAGATCTGCCTGCCTCTGCCTCCCAAGTCCTGGGATCAAAGGTGTGCACCACCACCACCTGGCTGCAATTAGCTTTCTTTCTTTTTTTTTTCTTTTCTTTCTTTCTTTTTCTTCCTTTCTTTCTCTTCCTTCCTTCCTTCCTTCCTTCCTTCCTTCCTTCCTTCCTTCCTTCCTTCCTTTCTTTCTTTCTTTCTTTCTTTCTTTCTTTCATTCTTTTTTGAGGCAGGGTCTCACTAGCCTGGAACTCACTCTGCAGATCAGACTTGCTTCAAACTCACAGGGTTCTGCTCCCTCTGCCTACTGAATGCTGGGTTCTTCATATTTTCAATGATGTAAACACAGCTAGGTCTAGGAATGTGGCTCAGTAGCATCTTAACTAGAATGCACTAGGTCCTGGATTCTGTCTCCAGCACTGCATAAAATCAGACATGGTAGCACAGGCCTGTACTGCCGGCACCTGAGAGGAAGAAGTGGATGGATGGGGAGTCATCCTTAGTATGTAGTGAATTTGAGCCCAGCCTAGTCTGCCTGAGCATCTCTATGGACACATGGGAGGGAGTCCCACTCTGTCTTATACATAGGGTGGAGCTCCAGGATGTCTTGCCATGTACTAATTACCTTATAACCTAGATGCTTAACAACTTTCTTTTTTCTTTTTTTTTTTTTGAGAACGAACCAAGGGTTCACGTGCTAGGCAAGCACTCCACAGGGTCACACCCATCGCTTACTCTCTCACACAGGTGCGAGGTTGGCAGAGCCCTGCCTGGTGGTACTTGAACCTGCAGGCAGACTGCACTGGGAGGTGGGGGCGGGTGAGTTCAGTGGAAAGTTTCTCCACACCCACACCTGGTATCTGGGCTGGCTGGCCAGATCAGCCCAGGATGGGGAGAAGCTTAGATGCCACCTCTTAAGTGACCAGGAGTTTGCAGTCGTCTTTCATCTCCGTGGTGGCTAGACTCTTCAGCGCCGTCTCGTGTAGTCCAGGCTGGCCTCCAACTCACTATATAGCTGAGGACGACCTTGAACTTGGGATCTTCCTGAGTTGGTTTTGGGGGAGCACCACCATGTGGAGTTTAGTCAGTGCTGGGGAAGGACTCCAAAGCTTCCTGATCACCAAGCGAGCGCTCTGCCGCCATCCGGGCTGCAGCGCCCTGCCTTCTTTCTTTTTCTTTTGTTGTGTTGTGTTTAAGACTAAGTCTCCATTGTGCAGTCCTGGATGGCCTGGGACTCGCCGTGTAGACCAGGCTGGCCTCGAACTCACAGGGATCCCTCTCCATGTAGACCAGGCTGGCCTCGAACTCACAGGGATCCCTCTCCATGTAGACCAGGCTGGCCTCGAACTCACAGGGATCCCTCTCCATGTAGACCAGGCTGGCCTTGAACTCACAGGGATCCCTCTCCTGGTTGCTGTGCCTAGCTATTTGTTTTTTGAAACAAAGTTTTTGCTTTGTTTTTTTTCAAGACAGGGTTTCTCTGTGTAGCCCTGGCTGTCCTGGAACTTACTCTGTAGACCAGGTTGGCTTTGAACTCACAGAGATCCTCCTGCCTCCAGAGTGCTGGGATTAAAGCATGTGCCACCACTGCCTGGCTTGAAACCTGGTCTTAGTATGTAGCCCTGGATAGCCTGGAACTCATTTTGTAGACAAAGCTGCCCTTGAAATCATAGTGATTCACCTCCTGAGTGCTGGGATCAAGAGCATACACCACGGCGCCTGTTTGTTTTGAGACATTACTTGATGTATCCCATGCTGACCTCAGTCTTCCATGTTGTTGAAGATAATCCTGACCTTTCATATTTCTTTTTAATTATTTTATGTGTATGCTGCTAGGTGTATTACCTGCATGTACACCTGGGCATCCTATGGGTGTGTTGCACAAAGAGGCCAGAAGAAGGTGTTGGATTCTCTAGGACTGGAGTTACAGTCAGTTGTGAGCCGCCATGTGGTGCTGGGATTTGAACCCCGATGATCTGGAAGAGCAGCCAGTGCTCTCAGCTGCGGAGTCATCTCCCCAGCTCTGACCTTAAACGTTTGATCTTTCTGCCTCCAGCTTCCAAGGGTCAGGAGGACAAGTGTGCAGCACAACGCCTACCTACCTGTGATTCCTTATTAAAATGTTTAGTTGCGCCGGGCGGTGGTGGCGCACGCCTTTAATCCCAGCACTCGGGAGGCAGAGCCAGGCGGATCTCTGTGAGTTCGAGGCCAGCCTGGGCTACCAAGTGAGTTCCAGGAAAGGCGCAAAGCTACACAGAGAAACCCTGTCTCGAAAAACCAAAAAAAAAAAAAAAAAAAATGTTTAGTTGCAAACTGGAGAAATGGCTCAGTTGCTGCAGGCTAGGCTCACAACCAAAAAGTGTTCATTTGCTGATGGCTTTAAAATGTTGTGCCTTCCACACATCGAAGCAAGCTGAGACCTTATGCTCTCTCGCTCTGGAGACACATTTAAACCTGCGAAGCCCTGGCCAGTTTCAAAGGACTCCTGCCACAGCCGCCCCCCCACCCCCAGGTACAATAAAAGCCATTCCTTGGTGGGTGTAGTGATGCTCATTGGTAATCGTGATACTCCAGAGGCTGAGGCAGGAGGATTGCCATGAGCTCAAGGTCTATTACAGAGTAGGCTACAGAGTTAAGATTCAATCCTATTTTGTTTTGTTTTGTTTTTTTTTGAGACAAAGTTTCTCTTTGAAGCCCTGGCTGTCCTGTGCAGTACAGGTTGGCCTGGAACCTAAAGATCTGCCTACCTCTGCCTCCCAAATGCTGGGATTAAAGGCCTGCGCAGCCACTACCACCTGGTTTATGGTAACTTGTTAGGTGAATATCCCTGGAAGACCTGCCTTTTTTTTTTTTAAAGGGAAACGGAGGTGGAGTGGATCTGGGGGAGAGGGAGGGGAAGGACTCGGAGGATTGGAGGGAGGGGAAACTGCCATCAGGATGTAATGTATGAGAGAGGAAAAAAAAAAGTTGGTTAGGATAAACCCAATGACTGGTGTCCCTACAAAGGGAAACCAGCGCTGTTCTGGCTCCTTGAATTTCTGTGTAAGTCACCCAGTCTGTGATACTTGTCCACAGCTCAGCAGAAGAATACAGGATACCAATGTTTTCGTTTACATCTGCTGCTTGTTCATCCTGCACACTGTTTATTTTGTCTGAAATGCAAATGGATCTCCTCCTGCTGCTCCTGATACGAGCAGTCAACACACACTCCGTTGACCAATTCTCCTTCTGCCATTCTAACCCGCAGCCTGATTCCTCTCAGCCGTTCTCCACTAGTCTGGTCTCCTATCTCCAGGTTCCTTTGGCTGGAGGGGAGCCTCTGCTGGTCCCCAGGCCGTGCCCTTTCCCCAAGGATTGCCTCTTCCACCTTTTGCTGTCTCCTCTGTGTGCAGGTTTTGGGTTTAAATGCCTAGTCCCTGGGGAGAAAACCATGAGATGGGAACTGGCCCTGAGCTAGAGATGCCAGCGCCCGGTGCTCAGAGCGGAGCCTTTTAGGTGGGTTGGGACAATGAATGGTCCGGGGTATTCATGCTGAGCACAGCTGGCCCGGGCTGGTATCCTGCGGTGAAAGGAAGCTGCGGAGCTCAGACTGCCGGTAGCCTGGGGTCCCCCGGCAGAGCGGCAGGATGCGTGGGGGAAGGGAGCTCCGGCCACCCCTCCCCCGGTTCGCGGTCCTAAGGAAGCAGAAGCAAGGGCTGCTCCAGGAGTCCCCGATCTGGGAACAGAAACTTTTCTGACGGAGGCTGTGGAGGAGAGGACGCATTAGACCTCTTGCCCCACCGCTAGTCCTTGAGCTCTCAGGAGAGTCCCTGCGTCCCAGTAAGCGGGGGGAGGGGGGAAACCCTGGCCCTCCCTTCGTGCTGGACATTGGAAGATTGGACTACTTCCCCCGCCGCACCCTTAGCACTTATCGCAGTGAGCCCCGCCCCATCCAGGCTTCCACTTGCAGGTGGGGCAGTTGGCGCAGCGCCCAGGCCGGGACAGCATCTGGGGGCCGGGGGACTGGAGAGGCTCCCATAATGGACCTCTTTACCGGATCTCTGTCCCCTCCTGCGCCTTCTCCACCCTCCGAGGACCCCCAGCCCTCCTCGACCCTCGTTCGGTTATCGCCGTTCAGCCCCTGCTGTGCCTCCTAGGATCCCGGATCTCTCCTGCCCATCTCTACTACCCTGTGTCGGCTCCCTCGATCCTCGCCGGGTCCCTGTCCTCCTCCAGACCTTCAGGGCGGCCGGAGTCAGGGCTCCTTCGAGTGTCCCCGAGGTCCAGGCTGAACACGCCATGAGGCTGTGGGCGCTAGACCTCCGGTTTCTGGCGCTTCTGCTGGTTCTTCTGCTGCAGCCTGTGCACGCTCCGATTCCCAGGGCGCAGGACGTGAGCCTGGGCGTGGTGAGCTTCGGTCCGCTGGCTCCTGGGATCACAGAGAGCCTGTAAAAGGAAAGGTGTAGGGCGGACTCCTGAGTATGAAGGAAAGAGCGGGCTGGATTCAAATGTCCTGAAGCTCTTGGGGCCCTGGATTACTGACTCTTCTCTCTGGTGGTTTGGTGGCTGAGATTCGGAAGTGTGGAAAGGAGCTAAAATGGGAAACTGAGGCCTCACCTGCTACATCTATAAAGAATTGAAAAACTCAGAGCCGGGGGTTGGGGACCCTGGCCGTGTGTATAAGGGAGGTGGGTCCTATCATCGGGGCTAGGAACGTTGGCTCTGGATTCCCTAGAGGGTTGGACTTTTCAAATAACGGTGAGAAAGGAACGCCCCATCCTGTTAGTGCTTCATGGTTCCTCTCCTGTGCCCTAGGACTGGCTGACTCGCTATGGCTACCTGCCGCCGGCAGATCCTACCCAAGCCCAGCTGCAGAGCCTTGCGAAGCTGCAGGATGCCATCAAAGTCATGCAGAGATTTGCCGGGCTGCCTGAGACAGGCCAAATGGGTAGGTAGCCCTGCACTACACGAGGCAGTCCTGCCTCAGTCGATGACCCAGAGTCTTTAAACCGCAGGGAACGCCTGAATCACATAAAGATGCTGGTCTCAGGTCCTAGCCCAGACCTTGGAGGTTTGCCGGCATCCAGATAACCGGTTTTGGCTTTGTCAGCCTCTGATGTTGCCGCAGGGATGGAACAGATCTGGCCCCCACTGCCTGGAGCTGACATTCTGAGGAAGAAAGAAACAGATCAGTATGCAAAATTATTTCAGAAATGGTGCCATTCTGAAGAAGACCAAACGCTAAGAGCTAGTCTGGTTAGGGTAGGCCACTGATTTGTTTCTGGAGACAGTCTTGCTGTATAGCACAGGTTGACCTCGAACTCAGGATCCTTCAGCCTCAGCCTGAGCGCTGAAATTCCAGGTCTGTACCGCTGCCGGGCAAGCCACTCTGAAAGATGTCATGTGAGCTTATAAGCTAAGATCACAAATAGGAGGACACAGCGACAGGGAAATGAGGGGGGAAATGGCCCAGTAACTTCAAAAGAACTGTGGCAGACACAAGTTTATCTGCCTGCCATGAAAGGCAGGCTGAGGGGCTTAGGCAAGCGCCTGATTAGGTGACCTTGAAAGAGGTTTGTTCCACGGACAATAAGAAACCAGGAGGGCTCAAAGGAGGGAAGCAGCTTCATCTGATTTTCAGGTTTTTGTTGTTTGTTTTATTGTGGGGGCAGGTATTCCTCTGTGTTGCTTAGGCTGGTCTTACACATGTGGTCCTTCTGTTTCAACCTCACCGAGTGGATAGACGGGAAACAGTGGCCATCGTGCTCAGCTCTGGTTTGTCCTTCAGCATCTTTTGTCTGCCGTTGGAGAGTGGTGGGTGGATGGAGAACCAGGAGCCTTTTGCAGGTGGTGCTGGGAAGCAGAGGTGGGGATGTAGCCGAGAGTATATTTTGGAGGTAGAGCTGATGGCTCTCATGTGGAGTGAAGTAGAAAGGCAGAGGGAGCTTGGAAAAAAATTCCCCCTACTCTGCTCACTCTCAGCCTGGAACAGAGTGTGACATCACTATGTTCTTGGTTACTGTTTGCTATTGCTGCCAGTGAGATGTGGTGTGACCTCGTTTGAAGGTGAAATGACTCCTGGAAATGCGTAGAAAGGGGCTTTACAGACAGACCTAAGTTGAGAAGGGATGGTTAGCTTTTGCAGACTAAAGAGCCCTGCTGGTTTTCAGACTGTGATCAGCATCCCATGAGGCAGGGTGGTGGTGGGATGGTGGCGCACGTTTTTAATCCTACTATTTGGGAGGCAGAGGCAGGTGGATCTCTGAGTTCGAGTTCGAGGCCAGCCTGGTCTACAGAGTGAGTTCCAGGACAGCCAGGGCTGCACAGAGAAACTCTCAAAAAGCCGGTGTGCATGTGTTGGGGGGAGGGGGACAACAAACAAGAACAACAACAAAAAGCGAGTGATGGTGGCAGCTTCCAGGCGAGATGGCAGCCTTCTGGAGCTCTGGCCTTAAAGGGGAGATGGCCTAGTTGGTTAAGCGTTTGCCTTGTAAGCATGAAGGCTTGCCTTTGATCTCTAGAACCCAGCTGAAAAGGGGCCTGGTGGAATGCCCTTGTCATCCCAGCTCTGTGGAGGTAGAGATGCAGATCCTGGGGACTCACTGGCCAGTCTAACCTAGCTGGAGAGTTCTGCACCAAGTCAGAGATGCTGTCTCAAACAGCCAAGATTATAGCACGTGAAGAATGACATCCAAGGTTGACCTCTGGTCTCCACATTCACAACTGCACGTGGACCCCTAGGCACACACAGATGCAATTCATTTCACCTTTGGAGTACCTTCCTTCAGGATCCACCCACTGGGGCTGGGGAAGTGGTACAAGAGACCCAGCTTAAGCCTCTAAGTGCCTCCTACAGTGGCCAGTCCACCCCTGGTCAAGTAGAGAGAGTGCCTGGCTTGAGCTAGCTTTCACAGTGACTGTCTGGGTCCAGGCTGTGAGGCATTAGCCAATTTCTTTCTTTTTTAAAGACTTAGTTGTTTTTTAAAGACTTACGTGTTTGGGTGTTTGGCCTGTGTATGTCTATGCATCATCGAGGTCAGAAGAGGGTGTCGGGTCCCCTGAAATTGGAGTGACAGACTATTGTGAGCCACCACATGGGTGCTGAGACTTGAACTCAGGTCCTCTAGAAGAACAGCCAGTGGCTTTAACTGTTGAGCTAACTGTTCAGCTCCATTGAGCCAATTTCTTATTTATTTGGTACCATGATGACAGACTGTCCTGTTGCTCACCACGCCTATCTCCCACAGACCCAGTAACAATAGCCACCATGCACAAGCCCCGCTGCTCCCTGCCTGATATTGTGGGGCCTGCTGGGCTGGTCAGGCGGCGGCGGCGGCGGCGCTATGCTCTGAGTGGCAGCGTGTGGAAGAAGCACACCCTGACGTGGAGGTAGGTCTGGGTGCCTGTGCCTCCCCTTGGCCTGCTAACTTGTCTGGCTGGCCATTCCCTCCACAGCCACTGGCTCTCCTCCTCTCTCCTCAGGATCCAGTCCTTCTCCCAGAACTCCCAGTTGAGCCGGATGACTGTACGGACCCTCATGAGCTACGCCCTGGCTGTCTGGGCTGTTGAGTCGGGCCTTACCTTCCAGGAGGTGGATTCTCAGCACCAGGAGCCTGACATCCTTATCCACTTTTCCCGGGGCTACCACCAAGACAGTTACCCCTTTGATGGACCTGGTGGCACCCTGGCTCATGCCTTCTTCCCTGGGGAGCACCCCATCTCTGGAGATACTCACTTTGACGATGAGGAGACCTGGACTTATGGGTTAAAAGGTAAAAGTTTCCATATTCAGAGTGGTCCCCTCTTCAGATCTGTCTGTGCTGAAGAACTGGGTTTATATTAATTGATTGATGAAAGCTAGGTCAGTCAGGGATTTCCCCAGAGGAGCTGGAGGTGTGCAGTACAGTGGTAATACTGCTCGTCCAGCATGTATGGGTTCAGGACACATACACACACGGCCCAGCATGGTAGCACACAGTTTTAATCCCAGCACTCAGGAGACAGTGGCAGGTGGCTATCTGTGAATTTGAGGTTAGCCTGGTCTACACAGTGAGCCCAGCAGGGCTACATAGTAAGAGCTTGCATCCAAGACAAACAAAAAACATTTTAAAAAGCTGATTAATTTTATGTGTATGGACATTTTATCTGCCTGAATGTCTACCAGGTGCATTTCCTGGTGCCTTAGGAAGCCAGAAGAGGACATGGAACTGTCATTACATAAGGGTGTGATCTACCATGTGGGTGCTGGGAATAGAACCTGGATCCTGTGGAAGAACAGCCAGTGCTCCCAATCACTAAACTACCTCTTTAGTCTCCAGCCCCTCCCCTACTGCTAAAAAAATACTTAAAAAGAGGTTTTTTTGTTTTTTTGAGACTTGGTCTCACTATTATAGCCCAGGATGGCTTTGAGCTCACTATTTAGTCCAGGATGTCCTACAAGAGATTTACTTTAAGGAATTGGCGCATGGAGATTGTAGGAGTTAGCATGGCCAAAATTTATAAAGCAGGATGAAAACTCAAGCTAGATTTCTGTTACAGTCTTGAGACAGAATTTCTTCCCTCCTAGAACCCCCAGCGTTTGCTCTTAGGGCCTGGATGAATATGGTCTGTCTGCACTGGAGTGGCTTGCTTTAGTGAGAGTAGATCGTAGTCAAATCTCTGAAAAACCTTCACAGCAACATCTGAACTGCTGTTTGGCCAATCCAGATGGGCACAACCAAATCAATTCAAAATTACCACTACAGAGGCCTTTCAAGTGCCCAGCTCAGGCAGTGGCGCACACCTTTGATTCCAGCACTAGGGAGGCAGAGGCAGGCAGATCTCTTATGATTTCAAGGCCAGCCTGGTCTACAGATCGAGTTCCAGGACAGCCAGGGCTACACACTGAAACCCTGTCTCAAAAGATAAAAAAAAGAAAAAAGAAAGAAAAAAACAAGTGCCTTGTCAAGTGCCCAGCTCAGAGTTGGACTGGTGTGAAAAACTCAAACGCCTCTTTGTCCATCATTTATGTAGAAGAGTGACTGTCATTACTACGCACAGTGACGTGATAGCCAGAAATCCTGGCAGAGGAAGTTCTCAGCTTGAGTTTCCCAAGGAGGTGGAAGCCTAGTACTCTTGAGCAGGGGAGGCTTCCTAGAAGTGCTGACTCTTTCTGTTTAAATATACACATGTGCCGGATGTGGTGGCACTGAGGGTAACAGCACATGTCTGTAATCCCAGGGCTTGAGAAGCTGAGGCAGGAGGATTGTGAAATTGAGACCAGCTGAAGATGTAGAGCAAGACTCCAGAGCTGGGCGTGGTGGCGCATGCCTTTAGTCCCAGCACTTGGGAGTCAGAGGCAGGTAGATCTCTGTGAGATTGAGGCTAGCCTGGTCTACAGAGAGAGTTCCAGGACAGTCATGGCTACATAGAGAAACACTGTCTCAAAAAACCAAACCAAGCCGGGCTGTGGTGGCGCACGCCTTTAATCCCAGCACTCGGGAGGCAGAGCTAGGCGGATCTCTGTGAGTTCGAGGCCAGCCTGGACTACCAAGTGAGTTCCAGGAAAGGCGCAAAGCTACACAGAGAAACCCTGTCTCGAAAAACCAAAAAAAAAAAAAAAAAAAAAACAAAAACCAAACCAAATCAAAAAAGACTCCAACTCAAGACAAATATTTTATTTTTAAAAGACAAGGTTCCGAGCAGGTGTGATGTGTACACCTGTAATCCTAGTGCTTAGAAGGCTAAAGAAGGATTGTAGCAAGTTTGAGGCCAACCTGGGGTTGTGACCAAGTCTTGAACAAAACAACAAAGAGCGCTGAGCGCCAGGTGTCACAGGCCAGATGGACAGAGTCTTGTTCATCTGAGGTGCATAGGTAGGGGACACACAAGAACATACCAGCCAGGGAGATGGCTGAGTGCCATGTAGCCAGAGGTGGGAGGAGCCACTGGGGGAGATATGGTCTGGAGCATCCATGGCTGGAAAACCAAATTGTGGGCAGCTTCAGCAGGGATTGCACGGGCCTCAGGAATATATCACAAGAACTCAGCTGGTTATGGCAAAGTCACTACCTGGAGGGATCAGGGAATTCCTCCAGAGGAAGCCAAATTCCAAGGAGCTTTTCGTGTTATTTGGCTTGTTATAGATTAGCTGTCTTCTGTTATGAAAATCATGTGTGCCTTCATAGTTTTCCCTATTGACTTTTCCCTAAGAAAGCTAACAGTGTGGACTGATCACTCTCTGGACATACACATTCCAGGTATTTGGAGAACAGCCTCAGGAAAGGCTTTCTCTGGAATCAGATATCTCCCTTGGCCGCTTTCAAGGACTAACAGAAATAACAGTCCACATGCTAGCCTCCTGATTTAGGGTAAATTCCACAAGGAGACACCGCCTAGGTCAGGTGGACCTTAAGTAATAGCTTCGCACAATTTAGCTCAGACCCTCCTTTCTTACAGCCTTACTAACTTTATAGACCTCTAACTCCTTACCTAACCACTTCTAGGAATATTTGGACAACCTTCTGCACTGACAGCTATGCACAGCCAGAACCCCAGTTCAAGCCTCCCTGTAATTATTGTCATTGGCAGCATCCGGCCAGGTCCATCCCCAGATAGAGGAAAGTACCTTATCAGAGATACCTCTGTACTCTCTAAGAACAGACCCTAGTGTCCAGATTACTTGTTTGAGAAGGCCTGGCGGATGTGCTAATTAAGCTTAATTTCCTCCTTTCCCAAATCTTACCTCTAGTTCCAGATCTCCCTTTAACTATCACCAGAGGCATCCAGCTGTACACAGGTTGCCTAGTGACCGAGCACACTTTCCCCCACCCTGCAGAAAAGCAGCAGATAGCTTGGATAGATAAGGGTCAAAGGGATAAAAAGGCAGTTTTATTTTCAGAGAGGGAAGATAGAATTTAGAGGTATGAGGAGACAGAGAGGAAGAGAGGAGAGAAGAACTTGAGGACGGAGAACTGAGAGGGATAAGGAGGATTTTTGACCAGAGAGAACATATGGACAATATAGAAGATGAGGAAGAGCCAGATGGGGAAGTACTAGCTGGGTAAGAACGAGATGAGAAGGACCTAGATGAAGCAGAATTAAGATGAGAGAATTAAGATAGAACTTAGAGGGAACAGCAGATAAAGGTAGAGAGAAATCAGTCAAGAGAGGAGCTAGGCACGAGAACAGAACTGAAGCTGTGTAGACAGGATTTTATCTTAGAGGAATAAAGTAGACGGACACAGAGCTTGGTGGACTTAGATTCATTTCCCAAAAACAATTCCCGCCGTTCGTAGTTTCTCTCCTGAGCCCCTGGGAAGCATAATGTTAAGGCTGGTCCTTCTAATATCATACAAGAAGGGATGATGTCACAGGTGAGAGTGGGCTCGAGGTTACAAAGGGTTTTGGAAAGTAAGCAGATTGACCAACAGGATTTGGGAAGCAATGGGAACACATCAAATAGTTTTGCATCCTAGATGCATGGGGAGTGGACTGAAGGGAGAGTGGAGAGAGGCGAAGGGGTAGGGAGTGGCCAAAGAGTCTGGGTACGAGAATGTGGGGACTGATGTGGAGGGGCAGATCCGAGCGAAGTCAGAACAGGTCCAGATTGCCATCGGACTAGACCCCTAGTGACAGGGAGGGTGAGGTGGTGACGACGGCCAGGTTCAGCTCGGCATCCTAGAAGACTGCTTCTGTTACATTACCTCCATGGGGAGGAAGTGGTGGGCTGCTGAGGCTGCGTGAGTGCGGGTCTGGGTGTGTGTTGGCAGCGTGTTTGTGTTCTGTGTAGGCAGCAGGGAGGGTTAGCATCCTCTTTAGAGCTTGGACTCCCAATTCTGTTCTAGGTCAGGTTTCTCAGAAGTAGAGTTTCAGTTAGCAATTCTTTTCCTGCCCTCCCTCTCTCTCACTGAACTGTTCTTTTTGTTTTTTGTTTTGTTTTGTTTTTCGAGACAGGGTTTCTCTGTGTAGCTTTGGCGCCTTTCCTGGAACTCACTCTGTAGTCCAGGCTGACCTCGAACTCACAGAGATCCTCCTGGCTCTGCCTCCCGAGTGCTGGGATTAAAGGCGTGCACCACCACTGCCTGGGTCTTTCCTTCTTTCTTCCTTCCTTCCTTCCTTCCTTCCTTCCTTCCTTCCTTTCTTTCTTTCTTTCCTTTTTTCTTTCTTTCTTTGTATATTTTTCTCTTGTTTCCAGATAGAAATTCTTTTTTGTTTCTTTGTCTTTGTTTTGTTAAGATTTTATTTATTTATTTCATGTAAATGAGCGCTCTATCTGCATGTACTCCTTTATTCCAGAAGATGGTTGTGAGCCACCATGTGGTCGCTGGGAATTGAACTCAGGACCTCTGGAAGAGCAGTCGGTGCTCTTAACCTCTGAGCCATCTCTCCATCCTGGCTTGATACTTTCTAATAGACCCTGAGATTCAGCTCAGGTCCATCTGTTCCCTCCCGTCTCCTGGGGTCCTTGGACACTGCAATACAGAACAGAGGGTGGAATTCCCTGGCTTTGTCCCTGTGGGGCTTGATCACATCCTTTACCCCAGAGTCTCAGTTCCAGTGCTGTGGGGGTGTGATCAGAACAGCTCCTGAGGAGCCTGGGGGTGCATCCTGTGGTTGGTGCGGCGGCAGCCACACTGTGCACTGGTCCTGCATCAACAAGATGAGGGTTTCGGATGCTGTGATTCCCGGATCAGGAGGGGGACCAGAGGACCCCAGAGCATGCAGCACACAGAGAGGCCAAGGTCTCTGTGCCCAGGAACAGTGCAGGTGTTATGCCTCTTTCAAGGCTTCAGGGCAGGTGTGGAGCCTGAGCCCCACCCAGGGCGAGCCCAGAAACCACACCAGAGCTGCCGTCAGTCCCCTTCCTTCTTCCTGGAGTGTCGGGGAGACTTCTGGCCCCCAGCAGTATCATGGAGCTGGCCCTGTCTGCAATCCTATTTGCCCTCTTTCCTGGAGCCCTGCTGGGGAGTGAGAACCTCACAGCAGACTCCTACAGCTTGTCTCCTATGACAGACAGTAGCATTAACCTGGATTCAGGTAAGGTGGGTGGGTGGGGAACAGTAGCTTCAGGAAGCTACGTGGAATGTGGATTTTGTTGCCAGGGCGTTTGTTACTGTTTTTATTTTATTTTTTATTTTTGTTCTGTTTCTTTTAGTTTTGAGACCAGGCCTCATTGTAGCCTAGACTAGCCTCCACTTTATTATATAGTCAAAGCTGGCCTTCTGATCTTGATCCTCCTACCTCAGCCTTCAAGTCCTGGGGATACAGGAAGGAGCCAGCAGGAGCATAGGTTTAGAGGCAGACCCAGAGAGCTGTCTGATCCTGGCTCCTCAGGGCCTTATATGAGGCAGGTACTGTTAGGAGCCAGGCACGGGGGGGGGGGGGGGGGGGGGGGGCCATCCTCTGGTGCACACTGGTCAAGTTCCCAGGGGCTGTGACAAGCCAGGTTTGAGAGTACACGGGAGGGCGGAGTAGCCCTGTGTCACAAAATTCTGATTTCTTGCAGTGTGTGGACGTCCCAGGGCTTCAGGCCGCATCGTGTCGGGGCAGGATGCCCAGCCGGGCCAGTGGCCTTGGCAGGTCAGCGTGAGGGAGTATGGGGAGCACGTGTGTGGGGGCTCCCTGATCGCTGAGAACTGGGTGTTGACTGCGGCCCACTGCTTCAGCCAGTGAGTGTCTCCCTAAGGGTCACATGGGCTGGTGCCGGCTGGACTTCCCTACGCTTCATTTCTCCATTTGAACCTTAGCCTCTGCCTACTATGACAGGAGACAAGGCAGGGCCGTGTCTCTCTAGTATCGAAATTACCTGTCCAGGTTGTCTGCCTGTCTCTGGGCTGGCCCTGGTGGCTCAGCCACATAGTCTTACTCCCAAGAATCAACTCTCAGGTGGAGGGATGGCTCAGAGGGTAGGAGGGCTTGCTGTACAAGCCTGAGGATCTGAGTTCAATGTTCCTGCCCAAATTTGTGTAAAAAGCTAGGGATGGCCTGTACTGGGAGTGTACCAGGAAACAGGAGGATCTCTGGGGGTTGCTGACTTCCAGTGTAGCTCTCGGTTCTGTGAGAAACCTTGCCTCAAAGTCAAGAGTAATAGAGA